AAAAAAGCAACATACCCCTTCCTCTCGTTGTTTCCTCATATCCTTAATGGTTTCGAAAGTTTTATCCCTCTTTTCCGTAACGGCAGCTAATTCCCCTTCCAAAACATTAATATCTTTCTCTATAACCAGTTTTTCCTCATCGAGCTGCTTAAGCTTGGCATTAATAACTTGCTTCTCCTTCCGGACGCCATCAAGGTCAACGCCTATCGACTGGAAAGTCAAAATCAAAAGCATATCACCAAGCTGGTTGTTTAATAAAAATGAAACGAGAAAAGATTGATTTTTACACGAGAAGCTACTTACTTTGACCTGGCCTTGAATCGCCTCTTTTTGGCCTAACGAGTCTTGAATTCTTGCTCTCTCAGCAGCATGAGCAACCACCTTTGGCCTCGTGCCTTCGAGTTGCTTGATTTCCCTTAGAATCTGCTTCTCTTCAGTGAGAGGAATGCTTTCGTGCTGGATTCTGTACTGTAAACTTTTAATCTGAAAAGAGGAAAATGTTTTGGGGTTTTATAGCTTACACAGAAATAAATAAAATAAAAGAATAAATAAATAAATGAAAATGTATGTACGAAAGCTTACGATATCATTGAGTTCTTCCTCAGACGAACAAATGGCTGGGCCCTTCTCTCCACCACCAGAACCCCTCAGCTTGCCGAGAGCTTGCTGTAGAGGCTCCATTTCTCTTCTTTTCTCATCCATTATAGTCCTAAACTGTTTATTTTCGACACCTAGGGATCTTAATTGGGCTATTACCTGGGCTCGATCAGCCTGCAAAATGTGTTTAGTTTTTATATACATGTTTTCTCATCTTGTGAAAAAAGCAAGCGGAAAATATGAAGAAGCTTATAGTGCTTAAAGCATCATCTATAAAATCAGTTTCAAACTTTTGAGATAAAAAAAATAAATAAATAAACAGAACAAGCATTCGTTACTATAATGAAAAAACGAATAAAGAAGATTGCATTTAAAAACAAGTGAAAAAAGACGACGCGTCTCATTTTTTCTACAATAAAAAACAGAAGAAGATAATAATCCCAGCTCAAATAATTATCAACCTATGGAGAGATCACACAACGATTTCTCCCAATTAGTTTGACACAGAAAACGGAAACTTTTAAAGTCATTGGCTAAGGTATTTGCTTTCTATAACTCAAACAGCATTTGAATTTTCACATTAAATGGATCGATTTTACTCGAATTTTACTACCAAAAATATCATCGTTCTCTAATTTGCAAGACAGCTCGCATTCAACAGATGCCATACATTTCGTATATTTTTACTTATCTAGAAAAAAAGTGATGCTCAGATTAATTCCAGATTTTACAAGTAATCGAGAAAACCGAAATTTACCCTTTTAGCTTTTATTTTTTCAACAATCTGCAATCGAGCCTGATTCTTCTTCTGTAGCTCTTTATCAGCCAAATCCAGTTTGGCCCTCAGATTCTGATCCTCCAATGCCCGATACCTAACAACATAGAAAGAGTGTGTCTGCTGCACAGGCCACTCGTCAACTGCATCCTTTGGGACGTTTGACTCTGCCACGTTATTGAATTCGACTTTGACCGGCTCATCCACACCATGAGAGCCGAAAGTTATGTTGACCTTTTTATTTTCAGTTGACCCGTTCGACTCACTCACGTTCTCAACAATCGCAAAGCTAGAATCAGCAACTTCCACTGCCATGATGTTCAAAAAGTTCTACTGCAGACATATGTAATAACGTTATTTCTAAATTTGAAATCATAACAAAAATATACATCGGGAGAAAATCATTCACGGATTTTGAATCCTAACAATCACTACAAGAAGTATGATATTGGAAACCAAATGAATCATTACGAGAAAATAATATATCAGTATCGATGCAAACCTATGCATCAAACTAAAGATTCCATTTTCAAATAATCAAACTACCAAATCATTATTGAAAAGAACAAAAATAAACAAACAAATGAAGCAATCCTCAAGAATGGATCTTTAGTCAAAACAGCACAACCAGAAATGATAATTCTCATTCACATCACACCTTAAAGGAAACCCCGATTCGTGTAAATAACACCAATAAAATTGCATAAACAAAGATGGAACATTTGCGAGATTATTAAACGATAGAATAAAACAAATCCTTCAAAAAATCAGAAGCATGCACATCTAATCACATCAGGAATTCAATTCTCGATCAAACCCAAAAAAATTAAAAAACAGAATTTACAGATTCAATCAGCGCTTAAGCAATCCCACCAACTCCGAACCAAAAGTCAACACTCCTTCGCTCGATCGAAGTAAAAAGATCAAATTTTTATCGACCCAATTACAGATCAGACGAGAAGGAAATCAGATATATAGCAAGAATGGTGAAATTAAAAAATACAATAAGCAAAAGGAAGTAAATAAATGAAAAAAATCAAGAACAGTGAAAAAGAAATGAACCCCAGAAAACGACGGGGATTTGATCGGTAACCAATCGCAAAGACAGAAGCTTTTACCGTAAAATCCACCGAAAATTGAGAAGGCGGAGCTTTCAGACGAGACCCTTCTTTGACGGAGACCGTACCAGAGAGCAAAAAGATCCCAATCTCTCCACTTTTTCAGAGAGAGAATAAAATGGAGGACCCTATATTCTTGAGTGCTTAAATAAGATAGATTTGCAGGGAGGAAATTAAAATATCAAAATACACATAAATAGAAAAATTATTAGAAAAAAAAATAGAAATACGTATATAAGAAGATAAAAAGTGAAAATAAATGGAAAAAGGGCAAATAGATTTTTTCTTTTATGGGAAAAAATGAAACAAGAAGTTTAGATATTTGAGGACAGAAAGAGAGTAAAAAATACTGATTTATGCTTGTCCATTAGTGTACACAACGTTCACAAATGTAAATTTGGGTTTTTTGTTTAGTTTTTAGATTGGTAAATTGGGATCTGAAAATTTATTTTTAGATTACATTACATAAATAATTAAAAGCTAAGTTAATTATCCAAAAACAGGAACCATAGTGGAGAGTGCAAATTTTATGAAACTTCAAAAAAAAATCGTAAACTTAAGGTAGCATTTAAGATAAATTTTTAGAGGTTTGAGTGTTCTGGACCTAAAACTTAAGTAATTAGTAACTGACTGGAATAATATTTTAAATCTTGAAAGGTACGTTCCAAAAAAAACTCAAAATATAGACTTTTGGAATATAAGATTGCGAAATTAAAATTAATTGTTTTTAGCTATTTTTTTTTTTTTGGGGAACGAAAGGAATCTCATTACTAAAAGGAGACAAAGTACACAAAGGTTCGGGATCACCCATTACAAACGCATAAACTGCTAATATATACGAATGGTAAATTAAAACTGCTAATATATACATCCAATTATACACTATAATAGTCATCAAATCCAATCAATTGTTATAATCACATTACAAATAAAGTGTATTGTTATAAAAAAATAGTATAATTGTCAAATTATACGAATCGGGAGTAGTAATTTTCTTTCGGGTACTGATTGATCTCATAAAATTATTGTGGGTTTGAAAATTTACAAAAAGAGGTGATCAAAACAAATTGATTTACCTACTTACAGAAGCAATAGTAGAATATATGTTATCTGATGTATATGAAGCCACAATATATATTTATTCAATTTTATTTTTTTTAAAAAGGTTAATTGAAAAAAATTACGCGTAGACATATATAGTAGATAAATTCAATGTGAGAATTGAATAACCTTTTAAAGAAATTATACATTAGATTATACAAAATTTCTTGTACAAGCGAAAGTATGTCAAACTAGTTTTAAGTTGTGACAATTTAAGTATTACGAGGGTGAGCGAAATTGAGCCGAACTCGAAAAAATAAGATGAAATTGTGCAATTTAGTGTTGATCGGTTTGATTATTTTGGCGCGTTAAAATTTGGTTTTGAATTTACTATTTAATGCGGAATGAAAAAGGCATCAGTCAAACAAAAATTTGTCTTTCCCTTTTCCCATTTCACCTTTCACCTTTCCCGTAACAGTAAAATTTAGTTAGGTTTGGTCGGTTTGTGGAGGTGCTCGGTGTTCTTGGCCAGAGAAGAGGGCCTTCGTTTAGCCTAGTTTTTAGAGTATAGTACATGTTTAGGTCTGTGTGTTGGTATTGTTTTGTGCTTGTGCTTTTGTTCTTCCGTGTGGGAGGTAGTCTTCTCTACTTGTGGGAGTTTTTCTAATGTTAACTAGATGTTTTGGTCTTGTTTAGGCTTCTAGGCTACAGTGGCTTCGACTCTAGTCCTCTCTTTACAGCCGTTAGTTGTTCCTTTCGGCTTGTTGTTCGTTTGTTATTTTTTGTGTTTTATTAATCTGTCGTTGGAGAAAAAAAAAAACTACTATTTAATGCGTTACGACGTAGTTTGATTATTTTTTTTTTACAAGTTCGTTTTTTATGTTTTTCGATACAGTTTTGCATCATCAACATTTTACTTTGATGTTAAGTTACTTTTATTGTCACAACATTTTACTTCGATTTCTTATCGTTTTTTAATGTATTGAGGTGCGATTGAGTTTGAAATAATCATAAATTTGATTTTTTCGGTGCTAATATACACTGAACAACACTGTTGTTCACCATTATTAATTAATTGTCAGCATTATTAATTAATTATATGATATAATAACAAGAGATGATTAAAAATTAATTTGGAAAGGAAAAAAAAGATACAACCTCAAAAAAATTAAATATATTTCTTCCACATGTTAAAAATGAAAAATTGTGAAATGGAAAAGAGAGAAAACAACGGGCTTAGACCATGTCCAATGCAGCGCCAGATTAGAGTTTTACTCTAGAGTTGCGCAGCGAAACTCCTCCAGTGTATCTCTACAATTTTGCGCCACAACAAAGATATCTACAGTATATCTCCACATCTGACGCAATATTGTTGTTGTTGCGCTAGATCTTCCTTTTTTTTTATCATTTCCTTTATATATATATATATATTGTATGATTTTTTGTGATATGTATAAATATATATACATGTGATATATATATATATATATATATATATTATTGGTAATTGTTTCTATAATATGTAATAAATGTATTTATTATGTTAAATAACTTTGTGCTTTTTATTTATTGATGTGTAATAAATTTAATTTTGCATTTTTTTACTATTAAAATTGATGTATATTAATTTTATTTTGTAATTTTTTAATATTAAAATACCACCAAAAATGAATATAAGATGAAATATACATATATTAGAATTTATTTGAAATAAAAATGAATAAAAAAGATAATAAATTTGAATCAACCGTAGAATTCTTATCTAAAGATCAATGGCTAAGATCATATATATACATAATAAAATTTGCACATGATATGGTCTAAACCATATATGGTCTAGTGTGTAAATTTGCACTAATTCATATATGGTCTAAACCATATATGGTCTAGTTTGTAAATTTGCACTAATCCATATATTTTCAAAAGTAACAGTTTTGATTCAATCGGTACATAGATGTATATGTATCTTCTTTAAAAAATTCAATTTATTACAATTATATATATAGCAAATTATTCGAAATAAAAATAAATAAAATATATTTTTATTATTTGAGTAATTAATATTTTATATAAGATTAAATATACATATATACTAATTTATTTGAAATAAAAAATGAATAAAAAAATAATATATTTAATGTAGAGTAAAATGTAGAGATAAGGGCTGGAGATGAATGTTCAATCCTATTCTAGAGTAGAGTAAAGTCCGCACTAGAGTAGAGATAAGGGCTGGAAATGGCCTTAGGAAGAAGCCGAAAGAGCCAACAATCAAGCCTGTGGATGCATGTTTTTGAGCTGGGCCCACTTATGGAAACACGTGTAGGGCTTAATATGTTTGTAACTTTATCAAACCCAAACCACCAGGCCTCGATGACCACGAGGCCTAAAAACACGTAAATCAAATCAGTAAAATAACACTAAGAAATATATACATTGTTCCTAAGTTTTAATTCACAATAATTTCACATAATTGTATATGATAAAAAAAAACACTTTTGTATCTATTGAGGAAAAAATTGTCCTCATTGATGGATTATTATATGAATATAATCACATAAATAAATATTTTTGTTCCGCTTATTTTTCACTTCAGGAATGGTCATGAATCCAAATGAGATACTAAAAGTTTAAATTTCACATAAGATTACTTTTAGACAGGACACACTTTTTCAATATATATGCATATTTTCAAATTGAAATATCGTACTTTTAAAAACAATATAAACAAAATATGACATTTCATATTATAAATATGCATTTTAGTTATAGAGAAATAACAGGTCGACGTGTCTAATATATGAATAGGCCACTTCACACATTATCTGACAAAATTTAAGGTCTTTCATTAAAAAAAAAATAAAAATAAAAATCAATTCAATCTAATAGTATATGCACATTAGTATTGACTAAGGCTATGTTTGGTAAACTAACTGATAAGCTAGCTGATAGCTGATAAGCTAGCTTATAGCTTATCAATAATTTTTGAGCTTATAGCTTATGACTTATAGCTGAAAAGTTAGCTTATATGATAAAAATGTTTGGTAAAATTAGCTGATAAGCTAGCTGAAATAAAAATTTCAACGAGCTTATTTGAAAAACTACTCAAAGAAACTTATAAAATAGGCTCGAGCTTTTTAAAAAAGCTTGTCCTACCAAACTGAGCTTATTTGAAAACAGAGAGCTTATAAGCTAACCAAATAAGTTATAGCTTATTTGTCTACCAAACATAGCCTAAGATGAGTAGATGGAACTCAACGTTACACATTAACACAATTGATTGCAATGTTAGAAAAGTGGTTGCAATATAATCCTTTTTAAGTGCATCTGGCAAGTATTGAATGTATAAAAGTTCATAATTTTCTTTCAATTTTTATTTCACATATGACAGTAAGCTAGTTTGGTTGAGTGATGTAAATAATTTATCTGTTACTTATTCAACTTTAATAGTGTAAATATCGATATAGTCATCAGTCGGTAGCCTGAATAAGAAGGATCATAACACGGTACACGGATTAATACAATCAATTGGGTTACGAATGTCGGATGACTTAATTATACCCGAATTGAAAGGATAAGTAACACGAGATTAAGGAGTAAGACCCGAGAAGATATTAAAATTTGGAGGAAGAGAATATGAAAGGAAAGAGACAATTTACGGAAATCCCGATAATTTTTTAACCTAAAGTGTGAAGCACATCGAATATGTTTTTATATATATGGAACTATAGATTGAGATGTTATATGAAAATATGTATGTATCATGCTACAAAAACATAATGGATCACATGAAATTTGATATAATATGTTATGATATTGTGATTTTGCACAACACATGGGAGTAGCTGAAAAATATCTAGAAATTACACATATTTATATGAAAAAAAAAAAAGAAAAAAAGAAAACAAGTAGAGTAATGCGCCAACAATGGGCTAAGAGAACGAATAAGAACGAACCCAACCACTTTCTAGCCATTGGGAGTAGCTGAAAAATAACAAAATAAAATCCAAAGGTATATATCACTTAGATTGGGCTAGATAAATTAGATCATTTGATTGATTTGGATGTATTTTATTTTATTTTTAATTGAATAAAGAGAGTTAAAATTCCAAAAGAAAAACAAGTTACTGTGTGAAAATTTTGATTGGGTTTATTGATCGAAATCTTCTATATTTATTTTAAT